ACGCCGCGATGACAGTATTCCTGTATATCCCAGCCTGTCAATGTTCGAGATATGTCGGGTGTGATGCTCAGATGAAACCCACAAGTTGATATGGTGATAAACCTAGAAATCTACTCAGGGTGAACCGTGTTTCACATATATACGATCATAGTCCTCTGGCGTTGAGAGGCAGCTCTAACCAGCGGATGGCGCGCCTTAGATGAATGGACCGCCCGTAGCTTCTCTACGTTTTCACATTCCGCTATGATACCATGCTGTGAGGTGTATTGTCCCGTGTGCCCATAAAACCCATATGAAACATACATGACATGCACACGACACTGACTTTCATTTGTCCCGGACAGCTGACCATGACGTTAATTAGCGGTGTAATTTAACCAAAGCACACTTGTGAATGAGGGAACATGGTTTTACGCCGCTTTAAGCTATAATCCAGCAATTTCACGGCGGGCTACACCAGAAATGGGCGTCACACATTGTACCCATGTGGGGAATTGAACCCGAGTCTAAGGCGTGATGAGCGAACGCTTCAACCACTAGGCTACCCCACGCACAAAAGCGTGGCGTGGATGATGTATGTAAATTACAACAGGCACAAACTATAGTTCATGCTTACAGTACAAGACATTATCTTGCTAGTTATGTCAGAAATTTACGTCTTGTGCTCTCAAGGATGATCTATGTCAAAACCACATGAAATGCTTTAATAGTTAAATGTCCACTTGCACTTCGTATGAACGCACTTACGCAAACTCCATACTTTACAATAAATAAGATACCAATCTTCATAATTATAATTAAGCTCATGATCATAATCATAATCACAAGGTACGATTCCAACCACGTCATAAGCACGTGATTACGAACAACAAGGTATTCGCAAAATTCAGTGGTAGTCGAATACATGTGTATGTATTTAAGCATATAGATTGTTACAGTGATTATTACTGTTTCTACAATGCACTCCTTGAAACAAAGGTAATTGTTTGTAATTTTACGCTAAATTGAACCCGTCAGGTGTGGCACTATAATGTGATGCTCAAAATGTGTTATAAAAATACACAGTAACACTTTTCGTCAGCAAAACATATATGACGATTACATTGGGGATAAGAATGCTTGTGCCTTGAAGAAGTCATCATGATTTAAACTTGATATCACCGATTTTAGTGAGTGTGTGTGTGGGGTGTGGGGTGGATTCACGCCGCTTTTAGCAACAGTCTAGCAAAATCACGGAGGGAAACACCAGAAATGACGAGAGGAGCGAGCTCTTTAATCCCCAAGGTACATCACCCCCATATCCCACCCCCCGACCCAGTGACATCATCTATAGTCCTAGATAACTTTCTTTCGTTCTCAGATTCCACAGCCGTTGTGACCTCTGACTCTGACCTCTGTGTTCAGGCCTGCGTTGGGCCTCTTACATGTGGCTTGTTAGAGTAGCGTCCCTTGGACACGCCAGAATCTTATGGTCGTGGATTCGAATCCTGATTCAAAGACTATGTTGAAGGTCTGTCGGTACCATACCGTGCTATTTGGTTTCCGTTAAATGGAAAACGTCTAAGATATTTGCTCTCACCTTCTATATCAAATACAAATGCCGCGATATAACTGGAAAAGAGTTTTATAAAGTTTTTCATCCTCACTCACTCACTCACTCACTGTACTGGATCTGTGACTAGTCCTGCTTTGAGAGCGTGTAGGAAACCCACGTAACGCCACACACTGCTTCTGTCGTTATACAAATAATGCTCTTTTATATTCGACATGAGCTTACACGTATAATGTCGTTGTGTTCATCACAAACGCCACATCAATTAGATTACATTATTGCTCGCTTCAACAGGTGTAATATCACCACTTCGCCAGCTCAAAACATCACCAACACATACGCATGTAAAGAGTGATAATGGCCCTAATATTTCCTCCAGTCTTGAGGCTATCAGAGCCTCTCATCTTTAACTGATGTCTGAACAAGGCTTAACTCCCGTTAAGACGCTTGCTTAATTCAGCCTCGCAGGCATTTTGCACACAGAGGCATATATGCGTTGTGCGTTCATGTTCCAACAGGACAACCTGGGCCACAGAAGCTTTAATCAAGAAGCGTGGAACTCTTATGACGAATATAATCACCACTAACAGATAGGAAGATGGTGGGTTTGATACGTCGTTTTCCAATTATTTCATTTACTTGTAGGCTAATATACCTGTAAGAAACTTCGTTGATTCCCGAAGAATCAAGTTTGGCTGAGGATTTACATTACTTGACAGGAGTTTATTCAGACCTTTACCGTGGAGGGTTCTTTTAGACATAGATCTATCTCTTGATTTGCAGATGTCAGTAGTAATATACGTGTCTGGGAGCTGTATCAGTACCACATGTGCTACCGGATATACTTGTAAAGCACTCTGTACCACCACGTCGGAAATCGACGCGGATAATTAGTTGTATTTAGTACTCTTTCATGAATGGATATTTTCACCAGACGAAAGTACGAAACATGCCGAAATGTAAAAGGTTATAAATACATTTTCTCACTTGGTAACGCCATTAGTACACATAAAAACGAACCATAGACTGATTATTTACTTGTTGTGGTATTATGTGTATGCCATGTGTTTTTCTGATCCACGTTCGTCTCTTGTTGGTCTGACTGTCTGTCATGCGTGTTGGTTTCTCGTACTTTCCATTTGTGATACCTCTTCCTTATCTCTCTACAGTCACTTACACCCTGATGATCGAGACGCATGTCAATATCAGTGTTACAGACGCGTGTCAATATCAGTGTTATAGACGCATGTCAACATCAGTGTTATAGACACATGTCAATATCAGTGTTACAGACGCATGTCAATGTCAGTGTTATAGACACATGTCAACATCAGTGTTATAGACGCATGTCAATATCAGTATTATAGACGTATGTCAATATCAGTGTTATAGACGCATGTCAATATCAGTGTTATAGACGTGTGTCAATATCAGTGTTATAGACGCATGTCAATATCAGTGTTATAGACGCATGTCAATATCAGTGTTATAGACGCATGTCAATATCAGTGTTATAGACGTGTGTCAATATCAGTGTTACAGACGTGTGTCAATATCAGTGTTACAGACGTGTGTCAATATCAGTGTTATAGACGCATGCCAATATCAGTGTTATAGACGTGTGTCAATATCAGTGTTATAGACGCATGTCAATATCAGTGTTATAGACGCATGTCAATATCAGTGTTACAGACGTGTGTCAATATCAGTGTTACAGACGCATGTCATCATCCATCAGTGTTATAGACGCATGTCAATATTAGTCAGTGTTATAGACGAATGTCAATTGCAATCAGTGTTTTAGACGCATGTCAATATCAGTCATTGTGTTACAGACGCATGCCAATATCAGTCATTAATAAAGACCAGCTAACACTTAAATTAATTATACGATTTATTTCATAATGAAAATGGTAAAACATCACCAAAAAACAGACCAGCTTCGTATGAATATTAAATACTAACTTCCACCAAACCATTCATTATCAAGAAACGTCTTTCATAGCTAAAAAGAGAGACAACATAAATGTACACATTTATGATTTCATATGACACTTGAATTTATTTTTTGATGCTTGGTACTATCACATACGGTTTCCGTGAGTATATATGTATTGGGGACATATACAAGTGACTTATGACCAACTTGGCAAATTGTAAATACATAAATAAACCATCAACCTGGCTATTTCTATTTCGAATGGAGGTCGTAAAATTTTATGTGTCCACAATGAAAAGCACATACTACCCTAAATCATTCTAACTATCTGGGATTGGCGGCATTTGAGTTTTATGTATTGATAAATGCGACAGGTACTCGACAACAATATTGTAGTCAGTACCCGCCTTTGTTGGGTGTCTAAATAGATGGTGTAAAACCACAATGCAGGCGATACGACAACACACAAAAGAACATAAAACCGTTTCGTTATACTCCAACTATGGAGTACACGATCACAAAACTGGTATTTATTTTTACATCGGTGTATGAATGCATAGGCTGGGATTCTAGTAATGATGTGGAGGTCCCGTCAACCTACTAATTGTGTTGCTGTCCGTTTGGATGCAAATGTTGTGTCAATTTTATGATTTATATTAATAATATTCTTGTACCAATACCCGTAAGCATGATGTATTCTACAGAAGGCTTGGCAACTTCACTGTATTTGCAACTGAAACTTACAGAAATTTAATTTTCTATTTAATATTAAGTTGGTGAATGATTTATTCAAATTTAAACAATAATAATCCTACGTGTTGAACGCAATGTATAATTATAACGCCGTATTGAATAATCACTGTTGTAGTATGAAAGGGTTCTGTAAAACGTTGACATGTCGTGTATTTTGCAAATGAAATTTCCAATCATTTCCAAAATTCTCATGTATGTCTTCATGGCTTAGTTTCAGTGAGATAAACATATTTACAACACATATATATTAAACATAGAATTAACATTATCCTAAAAACATCGATGTATGCAAATAACCTGTCTTCATGATTTGGTTGGAGTGGGATTTATAACCTGAGTTTATATTAAAATTCTTCATCCAACCTATCATACAATTCAAATACACAAATCTCATTAAACCAGCCACACCGGTGACTTGCATGTGTCTTTTGGAAGAATATCGTATGTGTTTATGGGTTGTTAAACGAATATGGTACTTGTGTATTGGTTGGGTAAAATTACGTGTGAGAGTATGGGATGGGGATTAGGTTTCAGTGTATTGGATGGGGAATTTGTTTCATTCTCGCTATAGATATCATTAATTGTACCAGGATGTATTGTTCTGTCTCAGTCCTTCTTTCAGAAATGACAACAGCATTCACATATAACCATCTCACGCGATAATGCTGAACACATGTATATTTACGACGCATAAATATATCATGCTCAACCAGGATGAGGTCTGTTCTTGTAAATGTAAAAATTAAACGCCCTTACCTGAGTAATCAAGGCCGATCTCCTCCTTCAACAATTTCTCCATGTCGGTTTTACTATCAAGACGGAAATAATCCTGAGTTATGTTAGGGGCCAGCGCGTCCAGATCGTAATGCAAAGCTTCTATAGCCAAATGACACAGTCCCTTAATGAGATAATCCTGGCCCTCCTTTGAATACAGAAGTTTGATCTTCAACCACTTGTAATGAGACATCAACTTGGCGAAGAATATTGATAGGGACCTAGAATTAACAGGCCCTACTCTCGTAAGAAGCTGGTACTGCGTCGATCTGTACACACTAAAATCTCGAGCCATGGCCCCTCCAGAAATGACGGGTATATTCCAGAAAGATACTTGTCGTCCAACGGGGGCAACTGCAAAATCACACACAGGTCCAAGAAACACGTGGGCTTCTTTCCTGATGTAGAAAGTGATAGCTTTGTTAATTCCTTCTGCTATGTCACATTTCGAGTCGTTGTATTTAACGGAGAATTTGTGATTCTTCATTAAAGTCTTGTCTTCATTGATTTCGGTAATAGCAAGGTTAATAGCCGGTGCAATTCGTCTCACCGAGAACATACGTTCGTCGTCGAAAGGCAAAATCACAGCAAGTTTGACTTCCATAGACAAACAAACAGGCAGCCAAAGACAAACCAAGGCACAAGGAAGGTACCCCATGACTGTAGACGAATGAGCCTGGCTGAAGGAGGAAGCTTGTCACTTCTTCAGAGCTTCAGTGTCTTCCTCTAATTTTCTAGTCATCAGATTAGTATAGCATTACGCTAATCATCCTTTCATCAAATATATTGTGGCGTCATGGTCTTCTCTTCAGTGCCTATATAGGAAGAAACGTCACGTGGTGTCTTCTGAACAGGAAGCTGTTGATACACAGCGCTCAACTCAGGTCATGCTCGCTGGACGTGTATTGTGCAACGATAAAGAATATATGTCGACTCCACAGGTTGAATCGGCTAGCTGGAATGTGGCGTGTTGGGGAAGTCGGGTCGATAAGTCACACTGAAGTCACACAGAGTGAAACAGGAGTAAGGTGACAGCAGCAAATGCTGTAGTCGCACCTGGCTGACATCTGATTAAATAACTAGCTGTGGCGGTTTGATTAACCTCTGTTCACAACCAAATCGTATACCATTGTACATGGGCACATCTCACATCTGTTGTATAGTCAATGTAGGATGGAGTTTATACGTCTAACTTTAGAACACATGAGTCAGCTTACTCTCGCTGATATTGTTACTGGATTATATTACTGATATGCATATGTCAAGCACAAAATATTGACATATGCCTGATGACATTAGTATTACCGGGATATGTATACACATTTTGATGAAATTAAGCGACATACATTATTCAAATAAAAACATCAAGTTTGAAATTAGTCAAACAATTATGCGGACAAACGTGACTCGTGTACTTATACGATATATCCTACACAGTCAAAAGAGAATTCGTTTTAATTTCATCCAACTGTGTCCTTCGCCATATGTTTCATCGAACAATGAAGTCAGCGACAGTCACGCTGACATGAGTTTCATCTGTAGTTCCCAGGGAGTATTTTCCTGTATCCTTGTCTATCCAGTTCAATGGTCCACGTACAAGCTTATGCAATCACCGCTAATTGTTTCATGGCAGACTGCATGTACATCACTGACGAAAGTGTGAAGTCGATATGTAAAATGTCAACATCGGTCAACCAACATTTCCTCACCATGTGACATCTGAAATGCCAGAATGAATACCAGGAAGATTGCTTCCTGATGTGCAGGTTAATGTAGAAACTGAATCTCAAGCACACAACGACGCTCTTTGAAATACTCCAAGGTGTGCTTTAAGAAACTCTTCTCATATAATCAATGTAGACAATGCCAGCAAACGGTAGTGTAGTAATTACCTTTTCTAATGAATTATATATGTCCTATAACATAAACAGAATGGAGGAATATACTTAAGGGTGCTCCTTTTGAATGACATCACCCCGACAGCAGGTAGTCCCAGATCACTAGTATACTCCACGGATTAGCACCCATCTTTCAACACGCACGCTAAAGTTTCAACAACACTCACTACGTTGCTGTGGGTGAAGGCTTAACGCTCTGTCCATGCAGCCTCGGCGAACTGTATGGAGTCGTCTTTTCTGAAACGATATCTGTGTGAGTAACCCAGCCAAGTTGTGTCCGCTCAGAGGGCTCTTCGTTGCCCGATACTAGACCATATCAGATCTTATTGATCCTAAAGAAGCTTTCTTTCGTCTCAGAGAGGACGACCTGGTGATACTCTCTATTGTCAAGGGACTGCAGCACAGAGAACAGACTGTCCCTAAATCGCTGTACGCCCGCAGGTTTTGATCCACGGTGACAAAGTCATTGAAGCGTATGTTAGCGGAACGTTCACAGTCCCACGCTGCGTTGAATTAACTTCACTGCAATGTCTATGTTATGTTTAAGGGCATTTGATGAAGTCCGCGGGGGTTCATCATGTGTAGGAGATGTGTCGAATTAATTGTACGAGATGTTTATAATGATTAAAATTTAAATACAGATTAGTTTACGATGTTATCGATTGATTTCACTGTAGAATAACAATAACATTGCACGATTGTTTATTTTGATTAAAATCGAAAAGTACTGGAGTGAATTTACGAGCGTGTGTGCATTGATTAAGCTTTTAAACAGAGCGGCGTCTGCAAGACTGTTTGTTCGAGAAAAGGATTATTTAGTTTTACGGAAGAAACTTAAATCGAATAAATGTTACAAAAACCACTCTGACTCCGGAAACAACACGTCATAAATACTGAACGTATTCATGTCAATAATTAACACTGTCCTTAATGCCTTGACAATGTTTTTAGAATGGTAACAGATTGATTTAGTTTAAAGGTACGCTCTTCATCAGTTTTAGTCTTCCAGAAACAGGAGCGCGCATGCGTGTGGATTTAATTAGAATGTGAAACAGATGGCTTAATGTTTAGCCGGGATTTGTCTCCATACACGTGGCGTGAATAGCTGCTCATGCTATCAATCACTGATTTATTTCGTTTGGCAAAAAATCGTTATTACCGTTGTCCACTCCGCAGTGAGACAACAAATGTGACGTTTTGCCTGCGAGAACGTATAACAGTCAAAAGAAGTTAAATGAACCCCCAAGCATTCAGTTTAATGAAGTTATTCTGCGCCATGAAAATTGGTTGGACTTCTTTTGCGTAGCAAACGTGTAGTGTTGGGTGAGAAACTATTCCAATGTTTGCTGCTTTTATTTCTGGGACATCGTGATTGCAGTGTGCCCATTAGATGATTCAACAATCTCTAACACGACTGTAAATGTTGCAGACCTTCCTGCGATAAGTATGTTAGAATGAATGTAGTCCAAATCATAATTGGCCCGAGGCTACAACTGCTGGTCCATATATTAAATAAGTGGACCATTAATATAAATGAATTATTGATTTATAACCTGCAACAAGAATAACTACAAGAAGAGCGGAAGCCTCTATAACACTTTCTTTGGTAAACGAACTTAACGGTTTGAAAAGGAGGTCCAGATCGAGTGGTATTAAACGTTGCTCGGTCAGTTTGCCCCAAATGACCTAAGGGAGACTTACACGCACAGGTCAAAGTAAACCATGGCGGTCAGACTACTGAGCTATGTAGACGAAACATATATTTTTTTCTGGTCTGTTTTACTCAGTCTTACACTTATGTAAAACCCTGTCTGTTTACAACGGTAGAAAATATCGAAGTCTTCGATGTTCAAAATTTCGTGAATCGATTTTGCACAGGTAAATCAGGAATAATGATAATCAGGGAGCCTTGTGTTAAAACAATCCATCACCAGCTGATCCTTGCCCTTGTAAGGGACATAACCTCGTATGGTAAATTTCGGCGCTTTAGACCACGGCTACCAGTGCATTCTGAACAAGGTATGCAACCTTTGTAATATGACTGACATGTCGGAATGAACGTATAATTATATCACTCTACTATAGTTTAAAACTTTCCACGCTATTCTAACAATATCATCGTTACAGGACTGTATTTACCTGCCAGTTAGCGGACGTGACACAATCAGGTGTTCTACTCCTGGTTAATCTTAAAGCCATTTAACCGACGATAAATGGTCCGAAAAAAGACGGCCCATAAATTGTACATCCCCTATAACGGCTGACTGATTGTACTGGTGCTTCTCTTAGACCTGGTTCGGTGACCACTATAATTTCCGTCATTAACTCCTTATTAGGAACCAACACGTAACTTCCGAAGCTCGCAAATCCCATGCTTTTTAAACATCAACTTGAGCAGAGATGCAGTTCAAACATGGGAGAATTAGTTCATTGCTCGGTGTCCATGGGTTCACATGAGTCGTGAACAGTTCAGCAACGACGTAATGACTTAATGTTTCGAAGACAATTTGTGCATTAACTCGAAAGTGGTTAGGCGAGTTCGCGGACAGGCGGACTGGAAACAATGTGTCGGTAGTCTCCAGTTAATCTATACTTCACAGATGTTCATTATTAAAACAAAGAAGATCTTTATCCATTTCAAATTTGTATCATAAACGTTATTATTTGTTTTTATGTGGTCATTGTTATTATTATTATTATTATTATTGTTATCAAACATTATCACTATTCGTTGTAGAAGTACCTATTATTAACTTTTGACTATCACCAAGCATTATGATTATGCCTTTGAAATGAAGATGATGAAGACAACGAGCGACTTTCCTAATTTAAACCATGAGTGAGTGAGTGAGTGAGTTGAGTTTTACGCCGGTTTTAGCAATATGACAGGGGGCACCAGAAACGGGCTTCACACATTGTACCCATGTGGAGAATCGAACCCAGGTCTTCGGTGTGACGAGCGAACGCATTAACCACATGTAAACGTGGTTTCCTACACGTAGGTGGAACATTAAAACACCCTGAGACAAGACATGAAACACAAGGCATCCTTTGTCATGTACTTTGTCATACGACTGTGAAGTCATACTTCGTCATACGGCTGTGAAGCCATACTGTGTCATACGACTGTGAAGTCTTACTTCGTCATGCGGATATGAAGTCATAATATATCATACGGCTGTGAAGCCATACTGTGTCATACGGTTGTGAAGTCATACTATGTCATACGGCTGTGAAGCCATACTTCGTCATGCGGCTGTGAAGCCTTACTATTTCATACGGCTGTGAAGTCATACTATGTCATACGGCTGTGAAGTCATACTATGTCATACGGCTGTGAAGCCATACTATGCCATACGGCTGTGAAGTCATACTATGTCATACGGCTGTGAAGCCATACTATGCCATACGGATGTGAAGTCATGCTGTGTCATACGGACGTGAAGCCATACTATGTCATACGGCTGTGAAGCCATGCTATGCCATTCGGTTGTGAAGCCATACTATGTCATACGGCTGTGAAGCCATGCTATGTCATACGGCTGTGAAGTCATACTTCGTCACGTGGATATGAAGCCACATTATGTCATACGGCTGTGAAGTCATACAGTGTCATACGGCTGTGAAGTCATACGGCCGTGAAGTCATACTATGTCATACGGCTGTGAAGTCACATTATGTCATACGGATGTGAAGCCATACTATGTCATACGGCTGTGAAGTCACATTATGTCATACGGATGTGAAGCCATACTATGTCATACGGCTACGAAGCCATACTATGCCATACGGCTGTGAAGCCACACTATGTCATACGGATGTGAAGTCATACTTCGTCATGTGGATATGAAGCCACAATATGGCATACGGCTGTGAAGTCATACTGTGTCATACGGCTGTGAAGTCATACGGCTGTGAAGTCATACTCTGTCACGCGGCTGTGAAGTCATACTATGTCATACGGCTGTGAAGTCACATTATGTCATACGGCTGTGAAGTCATACTATGTCATACGGCTGTGAAGCACATATTCCTCCATGACATCACATACTATTGAGTTAAACAGCGTGTGTTAGGATTCAAGAAAATATTAAACACATTCAACCCTTCGGTTTTAATACGTATGTGGTGAACTTGATTCTAAAGAGAAACGAGTTTAGGTGATCATCAGTGTCCAAGATATCAATAGAAAATCACATTCACACACTCTGATTGAGTGAGCGAGTGTGGTTTTACGCCAATTTTAGCAATATTCCAGCAGTGTCCACCAGAAATGGGCTTCACACATTGTACCTATGTGGAGAATCGAACCGGTCTTCGGCGTGAGGAGAGAACACTTTTACCACTGGGCTACCCCGCCGCCCCCAACACAGTCTGAACGTCAGCAAATAGTAGTTTATACAAGAACAACCGCATAATTGAGCCATGCATTTTATCTTAAAACGTGCCGAGTCAACAAAACCTCAGAATGAAGTGTTCCTGCATTTATTTTCAAGGGTATGTGTATTGCTATGCCACAAAAATATCACTTCATCCTGGGATAAACTTCAATCAGCCAATCTGATCCGTGGTCAAAGCCTGTTAAGTTTCCACGATGATTAATCAATAGAACCCAGCTAAAAGTCAAACACCTCATAGCTCTTATTTTTTCAAGTGTAATGAAAATAAAAAGGATTGCGAGAGAAATGCTTGCGCTGGTGTTAATGTCTCCTGCGTGACAGTAAAGCAATATCCATATGTTTTCAATCACTTCCAAAACATATTTCAAAAGCATAGCTAATACTTTTGTAGCAAGGAACACAATTTTTATCATTTTCAAATCTGAAGAAAGCATGAAATGCATGATAACTGAGTTGACACAAACTGTCCAGTTGTCTATTCGATTCGATTTCATGGAAGACGTGTGGAAATGTACATAATATATCAAACAAAACTCCCGATATCAATCCTTTTTGACAATATTGGTTCAATTCCAAATCATCCATGTTTGAAACTGATATATAATCCAATGTTTTATTCTTTTGCCAAAAATGTGACATTGATAAAATATATTTATATATATATATATATATAAGAAGTTGCACCAACCCATAATCACTAAATATCTGATACAAGCAGATCCCGTTGTATGCTTCCAACTCAAATGGTAATGATACCAAGTGTTTCTGTGCGACCATGTAATTCCTCAACTGTGGTACGTCATGGTCTCGCGGGCTGGCTGGTTGACTTGATGTTTAACGCCGCACTCAGCAATATTCCAGCTGTATGGCGGCAGTCCGTAAATAATCGAGTCTGGACCAGACAATCCAGTGATCAATAGCATGAGCATCGGTCTACGCAGTTTGGATACGATGACATGTGTCAACCAAGTCAGCGAGCCTGACCACCCGGTCCCGTTAGTCGCCTTTTACGACTGACTGACTGAGTTTGGTTTTACGCCGCT